GGGGGGGCGGGAGCCCGCCTCGGAGGAAGGGATGGAGGCCGAGGGAGGAGGAAGAGCCGCCGCTGGTAAGAGGGGAGGGAGAGCGCTCGGGAGCTCCCCCGCGGCCCGGCCTCCTCCACGCCGCCGGCCCCTGCCCCGTCTCTCCCCTCACGCCGCCTCCTCACGGCGGCCGCCACGCTCGCCTCGCCTCCCTCCGGCTCTTGCCCTCACGCCGGGCCGGCTGCCCACCCGCAGAGGCTGGACGGCGGTGCCTGGCTGACGCACCGCCCGCCCGGGCTGTCCGGGGGCGCCGCCGGCGCCGGCCCGCGCCTCCTGTGAGGAGCCCCGAAATGGCGGGCTCCCCGCGGCGCCGCGGCCAGGCTTTCCAGAAGCGGCCAAAACGCCGCAAAACGCTTGGGCCTTGCCAGCAAAACCTCGCTCGGTCGCCTGCGGTCGTGCCCGGGCGAGCCCCGGCTCTCCGTGGCCGTGCTCCCAGCGCCCTGCTTTCGCAGGACCGCTTGAGGGAGATGGTCCGGTCCGACCCCCCGTGCACAAAGCGGGGTCAACCAGAGCGGGCTGCTACGGGGTTGGTTGGGTTTTGGGGTTTTTTTTTTGCCCTTTTCCTAAGCTACAGGTAACTTTTACAGGTTTTAGGCTAGTCCAAACCCATCCTGAAGCAGAGAGGAACTGGCCTGATGATTGCTGTCAGCTGTGGTTCGGCAGGTGATGCTGGTGAAAGGCTCATCTCCAAATGCCTGTTTCCAATGTGTGTTCAGAGGTCTCGCAGCACAGGTGCATGAGTTTGGGACTTTAATGGCTAAGGACTTCGGAACTACTAAAGAGCAGAGGGAATGTTGTGTAAAAACGTGTCTACGTTTTTAAGGCCAAATCTCAGGCAGCATCAGCAGGCGTTTACCCTAACTGAGCAAAACCATGGTTTAACAGGGACAAAAGGAGCAGTAAACATGTTGCTTCTTGACCACAGAAGAATAATTAGTTGGATTGTTTTGGTGTAGAGATGAGATATAAAAGGCTTTCTATGCTGCAGTGTATTTACCCTTTCTTTAAAAAGCATTCAGTAGAAACTTCCTTTGCTGATCATGAGTTGACTGTAGAACAAGAAATACGTGGTTTCTAATGATGAGTTTTTGGGGGAGAAAACCACTCACCCTTCATCTCCTTTCAACAGAAATTAAATTTACTAGTGTTTCTGACAGTAGGCAGAGCTGCTCTGCCCAGCAGAGGCCAATAGAGAGAACTCAGCCACTCAGTACATGGTGGACTTACACTGCTTTGAAATGAACAGACATTATGCTAGTTCCCAAATGGCAGTGCTCCTAGTGATTGGTAAGGGAGCTGATTTTAGGACAGGTGGATCTTCTGCACATGCTCCACTGTGAATTTCCAAGGGAGTCTGGCATGTGTAGTGTTCCTGGTTTATATTTGACTAGGAGCACTTCCAAGAATCTCTGTTCACGCACTTGTTTGGATAAGGGCCCATTGCATCACCTCAGTTAGCTTTCGCACTGCTTTCCCTCCTGCCCTGTTTTTATACTCTTCTTTCTTAATTTGTCACGCTAGCAGGTAAATGGAGAGAAAGTGAATTTATCTTCTGAAACACATTTTAAGTTGCTGCCATTTATCTAAAGTACCTACTTCATCCCCTTCAGTAAAATAATGATGTTGTTCATTAGTTCCTCTAGCTGCTCATGGCTAAATGTGCCGTAGTCAGATCGCTCTATTTAATCCTTCCTATCAGCCACTTATGAAAGTCAAACATTTGTAATAATGCTGTTGGGTGGTTTTTTTTTTGGAAGACTCTTAATTCTGCTGATGTTTTTAAATAAAATATCTCTAGAAGATGGGACGTGGTTTTTCACGTCCAGGCAAACATTGTACTGTTGGGCACTTCAGTTAATGTCTACATTCAAATTGAATGTTTAGAATAGTTCTTCCATCTCCTTCCTCTTTTGGGACACCTGGTATTGTTTTTAGGTATTGTCCGAGTTTTGGCTTAGTTATTTAATTGGATATACCTATGTTTAAAATAAATATGAGTGTATAGCACACTATAAGAGCATATGGGAATCAGCCATTAGCTCTTCTTGTGCAAATGGTGCTTTTCAGTCTTAACATTGCACTGTGATTGAGATGCTACAACTAGGTCTTGTGGTCTGTTCCTGTAACTGTTGTGCACAGAGCAAGATTGCTTATGCTTCCAGGTTTCTGAGCCCCTTTGTAGGTCCTAGGTAAACCTTACTGTTGAAAAGTAGGCCAGCTGTTGACCTAGAACTTGAGGTTCTTGTTTTAAATTCAGCCTTGTCACAAGTTCTTTTTTATTTTACACACTTCGAAAGTCAGATTTGCATGTGTTAACCATGTAACAGCAAGGCTAGGAAGGACATTTAGTGAATAACAATGTATATATGACTCTAGAGCCTGAGAAATAGTTACCAGATGAGAAACCTGTATGTCTAGTTTAACAATTGCATCAATGAAGCCTTAAATTTCCATCTGTCTCTCTAGCAAGATGGAAATCTCGCTGCCCTCCATGAAATCCATGTTAATCAGTTTACAGGCAGGAGGTCAGCAGCCTGGAAGGTGGAACCACAAAATTCAGGTAATGTATAGGCGCTGTATATCATGAATGTGGTCCCCACACATAGAAAAGCTACTCAAAGCTCTAAGATGAGACTCATTAACAACCATACTCCTTCAGTATAACTAAAATCTCACGTGTGGAACAGGTAGAATTTTACTCGGACTGAGGAGTGTGTGTATCTAAGAGGTAAAGGCTGTCATAATCTCCTTGCTTTCCATGCTACAGGTAAGGCAAGTTACTGAAACCTTGCTTTCTTTAACCTAAGTACGTTAAAGTCTAGTTATGGTCTAGAAGGAAAGAACACAGGAAACAAAACCCTAACTACTTCCCTCAAAGAAAAAATACAGTCCAAAACCCAGCTAACAAACCTGAGTCCCTTTCCATAATAGCACTGCAGTGAATATACTCCTTCCCTTGGGAGAAGAAGTATGAGAAAACAAACAACACAAGAGAAGGTCTAGCCAGTTTAAATTTGCAGGTGGGAAGTATGCAGGCATGGTTGTATGTTCAAAGAACCTATGTAGAACAGGCTGGTATGTATTTTCCATATTCTATAATGGTTGCATACTGAGAAACTCCCAAACACTTTGCGTGGCAATTCACAGTTCTGGTGTTGTCTTTACAAAATGATTGGCAGACCCTCAGGTCGCACATATCCGAAGTAAACTGTGTCCTGCTCAGTTACTGAGAGGTCTGTGGATGCTTAAAAATGTTGTGCTTGTAACCTTTGAAACTGCTGTCTGGTGGCTGGTCTTTATAATATTACTGACAACAGATGGCAAATGGCTCCGCTGATGTAATTCTTGCTAGTGTTTCATTCCTGTGAAGTTGCACAGTTTCAAAATCTCAGAAAGTGCCTCCATATTTTTTCTGTGTAATGATTTCAAGCCAAACTAAATAAAAACATTTTATATTATTCAAATTCCCATGGTGTCATGTGACATTTTTGTAATGATTGCCTTGCAGCAGTTTCAGATAAGTGCACGTTTGGTAGCAATTTAAGGCCTGTGTCCTTTAAGTAATGCTTATTAGTACGTAACAGATGCCATTTAGAAACATTATGCCTTTTAATAGGCTCTGCTTTTAGACTTCATGTTCTCATTCTAGGCAGACTGTGGATCAGGCAAGCTTGGAGGTATGCTGTCGTTTATGCAAAGCCTAAGTCAATTTTCTGCTCTGAAGTCAAGCCATGTGTTTTTCCTTGTTTCTCCCGTTCTGGTCATAGCTGCCTTGCTGTGTTTCCCCCCCAGTAATATCTTTGGCTGATTGTCAAACCATTACAATCAAAACCTTTTGCATTTTTAACCACCAGCAGTGGTTCCTTTTGTCCTTACAGAAGAGCCTGTGTAAACTGAATTTGAACACTCTCAGCCTTACTGTCAAGAGCACAGCAAGCACAGTTAGCCCTCTGTTGCCAGCCTATCCTTCCTTCTCTGCTTCTTCCTCCTCCCAAAAGGAGAAAAAAGGGAAAAGGAGAGCCATGCTGATTTTGGAGCACCTTCAAAGACATGTAGAACAGCTGACACAATGACACAGAGAAACAAGAGAGATGTTTACATATTTCCTCCACTACTTGCAGCTGTTTATTAAAGCAAGTTCTGAGACAGGCTAAGAGGCTTGTGATAGCTAGTGCAGGTGACGTATTAATTTGCAGCTGCATAATAAATTTAGCAAAGTGGAAATTACTGGGGGAAGGGATTTTTTTGTTTCTTTCCTTTTTTTCCTCAAATTAATTGCTTTATTTTGAGATTATTCTGGCTGTACAAATTGCTCCTTGCAAGTAATTCGGAGAAAGGCTGCTGGGCTTTCTTAGGCAGACTTACGCACTCTACCGGTGGGAGCAGTAGTTTTGTCAGATGTAAAGCATTTGCAACTCAAAAGTATGTGATATCTGAAACTGGTACCCCTGAAAACCTAGGCAGTTGTCTCATATTTTCATCGCTACTTCGTTTGTTTGGGGAACGTTGTCCTTTCTGATAGCAAACCAGGGCTTTCAGGTACTCTTGGCATGCCACACATACTGCCATAGTTTGTATGACATGAAGATAAGGGCCATGCATAGTGCAGCGTTAGGTTTCCCATACCTGCTTTGAATGATGGTAGTAATAGGGAAATGTATTTAATGTGGTACTTAAATGCTAGCCCTGGTGCCAGGTTGTGATAGTGAGTGTTTCAGTAATAATTTTAAATGCTCCTTGGTCTTAACATATGGCTGCTTTCTGAAACTGTCCTAACTGTCAGTCTGTCTGGCTTCTCCCCATGGGATGAAATCATCTTCATGCTAGATCATTTGCCAAACTCAGTTGTCATTCCCTGCCATTTCACTATTCCTTGTTTATCACTATGGGAGACGTTGTCTTCCTCTTTTTCCTTAAGTTATAGGATGACATTTGAGCAATGCATCCTCCTTTCTTTCTTCCATTTTTGTAAAATTGGATTGAATTACCACTATCTACATTTGAACTTATGATTCATAAAGGCTCTACTGCTGTTCATGGAATCTTCTCTGTCATTTTCCTTTCATATCAGCTTCTTTGAATAATGAAGATACTTCAGTGATATATTTCAGTGTCATTCAGGGCCTCCTACTTCTTCTTTGCCTAGATTTTAAGAGTCAGACTCTAATTTGAGGACAGGCCTGGACTATGAACTTCTGCTGGAATAGCTATTTTGGCTGTAGGTATGATGAAATGAGATGTAGCACTGACATAATTGCTGGAAAAAGCCCCTGATAGGGACACAGTCATTCTGGAAAACTTGCATATTTTTCTTGTATGTTTTATTTGGTTTAGGGGGTAGACAAATAATTAAGTTGACAAATTTAGATTTTTTTTTTCTTACATATGCAAGAAAATCCATACCACTGCCTTCAGTAGTTGAAGTTCGACTTTTCCAGGAACTTTTCTGCCCATTTCTTGGTTGTATGAAGAACAGTACATATTAAGAACTCAATTCTGATGTTCATAGGTTCAGAGGTATTAGCAGCAATCCCACTGAATCAGTGGAATTTCCTTGAGGAAAACCTGATGTGAACATGAACCTTAAAGCCTTAATTAATTACAATCCTGAATGCCCCTTTTCTTCAGGACTACATCTTCTCTGAGTTATTCTGTAAGGTCCCTCCTTCTTTTTTACATCTAAGCTCTGTGAAAAAGAGAGTTAAATGTGCAGAAGTATGAATTCCTGACATGTCATAGTTACAGCTGGTAGCAGTTCCATGGTTTAACAGTATGCTACAGTTTTTATTTATAAATTCTGTTTCTGGGCCATAATACCTCATCTTTTTTCAATTACATTAGGTTAGAACTTTGTGCAAAATGTGCCAGTCCAGATGTGCATTCTGTGTATAATAGGACAGGGTAGCCTGTTTACACAGATGTATTTTGATTATCTGTATTATGAGTTGGGTGTGGCTTTATTTTTGTAAGCGTAACACTGCTCAAGATCCATCTGAGGAAAAACAGATATAGTTGGAACCTGTTTGCTGGAACTTTTGGTAGGGCAGTACTGCAGGTTAGAGTGCAGGAAATATCCCTTCAATATGCACTTATTATGTGATCCCTTCAATATGCACTTGCTTTTCTAGGTTTGAAAACATTTTAAATAATGTGGTTTCGTCTAGGTATTTTTCAAAAAAGAGCTAAATAATTAAATCAATTCTTTCATTCCCTTGTCTAATTTTTTTCTATTTCATAAGTTAGTTTAAGTTTTGGAAAATAAATAATGTGTTTTAGAGACCCCAGTCATATGAGGTTCTGAGAGCTGTCAGAGCTCATTGAAGTGAGTGGAAATTGAAGGTGTTTGACCTTTTTCAGTTAGGTTTGTCTAGTCTCTGCCTTTGCTCATCTACATTCTGCTAAATATATGTGTATACTTAAAGCTTTTTTCTTCCCTTTTCTGAAATCAGTAGTAAAAATGTGTTAGCAGGAATGGGATGGCTAATATGAGAGCATCCTGCATTTGAGATGCCTAACATTTGGTCTGCCTTCCAGTTGAGTGACAGAACTTGCAGTAATGACATGTATAGCTACAGTTGAATTAATCTATTTAATCTGTCTGGTTTCTTAATTGGGAATGGGATTAGGATTATTTATTTCCTTTCTGCCTTCACTTATTGATTCCACAGCAGAAAATTATTTACAGACAGAAACTTGTATTTAGTTTGTCTTCAGAAGCTCTTCTTGCCATTTGAACTGTGATAGAATAGTAAGTAATATATAAATGGCATTTTTGGATCAAAACATAGAAAACTGTTAACGCCAATGCATTTTTTTCATCCTTTGTGTTCCAAGAGTGATTGCTCTATTAGTAATGTTGAAAAGCAATGCAGTGGGAAAGAAAGTTGTTTTCATTAATGATGCACAGCATGTGGTTAAGAGCTGCCTTGCCATGTTGGACAGATATCACACCACGGTGTTTGCCCACTAGCTCTGTTGCCACCACACGTTGTTATGATACTGAAGTTTCACTTACACTAGAACTTGGGTTTTTGACATGTACTTGCTCAATTAAATTCAGGATATGAGAGTCAGGTTCTGCATGTACTCCCAGGAACGTGCCAAAGACCTCTTCCTTCCTTTGAAAGGTTAAAGAAATATGGTTGTCTAATGATAACCATATGCATAGAGTTGTTCAAGCTCATTGGAAGGAAAGGAGAAGAGTTGATGTTAGGCACTGCTGTTTAACACAGGGCTCGCACTCCTGTGGGAGTGATGGAAAGCACTTTTGTTATATATGTGCACTATTTAGAAGGGCAAAAAAAGTTATTTTTAGATCCTAGACGCTGTCATGGTTGTACTGCTGTAGTGTGGCAGTGACAGTCCACAGGAGAACAGAGAACGTTTTATGTTATATGACTTCTTTGTCTTCTTATGTTGTGACTTCAGAGGCACTGATAAGGAAAACGTCACACCCTTTTGAAGTGGTAGATAAGACATACACTTAACTGATAAGAAACCAGACAGAAGATGAAGTGATTTGTTGGGGGCCACAAAACCACACCTGCATTAAGAAGAAATCTTAGGAGTTCTGGTCTCAGTTGCCTGGTTTAATTACAAGAACACTCCCTCCTAAATATTGACATCATATACTGTCATTTTGTGTTGGTGCACATGATTGTCTCATATTGCAGAGTGGGTTTTGATTAAAAAAAAAGGGGGGGAAAATACTGCTTGGACAAAAAACCCTCACAATACTGTCAGAAACAGTTAAAACCTGCTGAAGTGTTTTTTTTTTTTATTGTGAAATATATTGGCATGAAAATAAAGCCAATAAATAAAACCAGTACTACTATTGCAAGCATTAGAAATGGCAAAACTGAATAAAAAATAATGAAACTTGAAAGTTAGAAATGTTGTATTCTTTTTATCTATCTTGTTTCTGCACCACTAGAAATCAGACTTAAGTGTTTTTCATATTTTTACATGTAAAATTATGCACAAATTTGCACAAATGTACAAAGAAGCACAGTTCAGATACAAATCCTGTGGTGACTGATGGCTCTTCTGTAAATACACAATTCTTAATGGATGCATGTAGTATCATTCTCTGTGTTTGTAGAACATGAAAAAGTAGTTGTAGGATAAATGATTAATTTACTTCAGACATAACACTTTTCATGCTTCATCTACGGTGAGGTTGATGTATTTTGCTTTACAATCTGGCTGCATCCTAAATGCCCTTACAAATCTCTGAAATGGGCTTTTCAACAAGTAAGTCTTCCCTGGGAGTACCAGCAATACCTCAATGCATCTTAATCAACTCAATGGTGTGTCTAGTCTGAAAAAACTGCATCACCAACTTTGTTGGCTTAAGGAAACAGTATTAATAAGCTACACATGAATGCAGGAATAGAAAATTCTTAACAATGAAAGCACATATCCCTTGTTTAATAAATTGTGTATTGGGTTCATGGTCAAAAAGGACTTAAGTATATTGGCAGTACATGTTAATTTGAAACTTAAATGAGTATTTAAAACATCTTTACAAAGAGACAGAGTTGATTGTCCCAAGTTGTAACTGATTTTTTAGATAATGGCAAAATAGTAAAACTAATGTATAGGTACTAAAATGACTAGTCTTGTGAAAGAGAGCTTGAGGGATATAATGGTGATTTGAATTGCCGTATCATTATATTAATGAGATAAGTCTATGGTTATCTATGTTCTAGTTAAATTATTTCTGTTATGGCACAGGGTTTAGTGGCAGAGGATATAGAAGGATCATCAAAAAGAATCTTCAGAATATCTGATTAGATTGAAGCATGTCATTTACCTTTGGGCGTTACAGCAGTCTGTAGTTTCACTTCTGGAATTTCACATACAAGTGTGTGCACCATGTGTTTTCTCTTGTATTGAGAATAAATTCTTTTGCCCATGGAAAAATATTTCCTGCTTGCTTCAACTGACAGAATGGAATTCGTGCTGAATCTGTAATGATGGGGGTCTGTCTCTAATCTACAAAAATTAGTTTCTAGTTCAGGGTAGAATATTGTCTTCTATTTTGTGATTGCATTTGTTATTTATCTACCTGATGCAGAACATAAGCATGTTAATCAGATCTATCTGGATTCCCACATATTGATCTTTTTGGATCATAAGTGGAGTGAACTTTGTCTGACTTTTATCTCTCAAGAAGGATACTTGTCCACTTCATGAAACCACCATAAAATTCAGCTCTGTATTCTGGAGAAAATCAGAGGTGGAACAGCAGTGGGTTTAGAAAAAGCTGAGTTCAGGGATCAGGACTGAAACAGGGGCCTTGGTTTATGCCTTATTGGCCGAGTTGTGTCATGTTTTAGGCTGAGGTACCTTATAGGTGCCAGAGGGTAGTATCTCATAAAGATGACTGAGTTGTATGGGCAGTGCCTGCTTGTTTGTATAGCTGGTTTTAGCTGTAGATTTTCACTTTCAAGATCAGATTCTTAGTGCAAATTGATGACGGATCACTAGAGTGAGATGAGATGCACTTACACATCCTTGCTTGAGAATGTGGCCCAGACTGCTCCAAGGAAACAAAAGAGAGGAGAAGCAGAACCAGTGTTAGTTTTTGCTTTAAAATCTATTCTGTATGCTTGAAATGGAAATACGCCCATTCAGATTTCTCGTTTATTTATCTCTAGGTAAGTTTTTTTCAGCGGAATTGCATACGCTTCCTCCTCCTTTGCCCTGAATGCTGGTGCCCTGTAAAAGACAACGTCTGGTACCTGTCTGCAAACCCTTCATTGTAACTGCTGCTGTAGAATCCGCCTAGATGATGTCTTCACCTTGTTTACCAGCTTTGGCTGTTGAAGATGTCAGCCACTTCAGCGTGAATGTCAGGAATCCCTCTAATGCAGTAGGCCTCCCATTCTAAATTTATTCTCCTTATGGTTTATGGTCCCTCCTCTGTGGCTGCAGCAAGAGGCCCCCTTTTTATGACTCCCCGCTCCGGCCCCCCTTCGCTCCCCCCTCCCTCCCTCCCCCAGATGGTAACCCTTTGTGCACACCGCCGGTTTGAAAGAAGTGCTCGCTGGGTGTCTAGCAGATTGGCTGCCACAGTGTGTTCTTTTGTTGCCGCTAGGTAAGATCAAATTCGAATGAAATCCTGTAATTCAAATTAGGTTAAAAGGCTGCCCTTGGAACTTCATGATTTTGGTATCCCAAGATGCTGATAGGGGCCTCAGACTGAAGCACTCACAGGAGAATAGTGCTGCTTTTCTTTTAAAGCAAAGTTAACAGATTATTTTGCGTTTGATTTTGGAACCTTTATAACATCCCGTTAGCCAGCAATAATTATTTTTGTAGTCAAATGCCTAATAACAATAGTTACGGTTAGACTTTCTTGAGGTTTTTTTTTGTTTCTGTATACAAAAAAAGCATAAAAGGGACATATACAGGAGGGCAAATATATTTCCTTCACTTTGTACTGGGGAAAGCTGGGAAACACATCAGTTAATGTAAAAAAAAATTTCAAACTAGTGATTTTTCTCCTGCATATGGTAGCCGAACAGTATTCGTGATATGTGCATGTGTGTGCAAGTTTTGGAAGCATGTTCGCAAAAGCCAGCCTTAGCACAACTGACTTCTTGAGGACACTCCAGGGTACCTAAAGTTAGGCTTCTGCTCCATATTGTCCCTAAAGGAACCTCACTCTCACTCTCTCTCCCCCCATCTCCCTTATATACAGAAGCTGAGACAGATTTGTTTTCTTTATGAAAAATTTTTTAATTTCCCCTTTATTGGAATATGTGCTCCTAACTCACGTGGACATTTTCGGAGTATTACACAGGAAAGACAAGTTAACTGAAAATCTAAAAGGATTTTTTAGAGAAGAAAATTACTTCCATGAAAGTTGTTCAGAAGTTTTCTCTAATGCCTCATTATTTAATCTGTGGCATTATTTCATCCTTCAAATGATCACTATTACTTTAGAATACAAGCATATTATGTACCAGAAAGCTAATGTAACTTTGAAGGTACTAGTTGTTTCATTCAGTGAGGAGAAAACATGATTGTGCTTATTAAATTGCTTTGGCTTAACAATGGCAGGATGTAGCCTTGTAAGCAGCATCTCATGAATACAATTTATTAGCATGGCCAATATTTTTCTTTGTGCTAAACTTAAGTCTTACATGCTGCTCTTTTGCAAAGAATTAATTTACTAGTAAATTTACTTCAGTAAATTACTAAAGTTTTTAATAATCTTTAATTTCTTTCCCTTATATGGCTTCTTTGCTTGATGGTGTTACACAGTACACAAGGGAAGGCTGCTGCAGAAGAAAACTGCCACTGCTAAGTACTGGCTGGGATTTTATAATGTGACTCAACTTGCCAGTGTTGCAATGCTGTTTTGTCTCCCATTTTGTCACATACAAACACACTATGAAAACCATTTACAGAGTAGCTTCTGTTCAGCATCCTGACTACATAGCTTTGCTGTCAAGCCTCAGGATGTAGGCTGTTGGCTGCAAAGGGCAGGAAAATAGTGTTTAAAGCATTTTAAGCAGTGCAGGGTGGTGGTGAATTATCAGTTGTAGTTTCTTACCCCTTTGCTGAGGAATCAGATAGTGATCACTGCCAGAGGGAGAATGATGGGACCATGGGTGAATAGTCTGACCTGTACTGCAAATCCCATGCTCCTACTTTTATATGGAGAGGTATAATTTTCAATACAGTACTTTTATGATTCATAGTTTCTGAATCTTAATATAGACAGTTCTTGCAATGGCCCTTGTAAGACTGTTCATTGTCTCAGCCGTTTACTTTGCACTTACTATCAGTGCAGTTATTTTCACTTTAAACTTGGGTCACAGGAGCTGCCATGTGAGAGCAAACCATGACTAAAAATGGAGGATTCAGAACTAAGATTCCAACTATAGCAGTGTTGTAGAAGATTTTGTCTTCAGTTTGGGGTTTACAAGAGTTGCAAGTGTAGCATATTGACTGAAAGCCCCTTAAATTGAAATTATTTCCTTCCTATGATAGAAGACTGGCAGAATGCTATTTGGACTGCTAACGCATTTCTTTTGATGTTCTTTATTTGAGCTGGTGATGAGCTACCGATCAGTCTGGTTTGTTATGCCAGAAAGAGGTTGCTTGGTTCCTCACAAGCACCGAGCTGGACTTTGCACTTCGGTAACAGGCATCAGATGTATGTAATTTTTGTTTGCATGCGATTAACAAATACCTTGCATGAATACCCTTCAGCACTGAGTCACATGGATTAAAAGTTATGTTGCATAAAAGATGATGGTTACTATTTTGGGAACTCTTATGTAGGTGAATATTTTAATATTTTTTTACATTATTTCATTGTTGTGCCCAACTGAAGTTACTCAAAAAAGAGAAAGAGAAAACTAATGATATGCAACAGATCATGGACTGACCCATAAAGGGGCAGTCTTCCAAGAAAGAGTGGAAGTTTTGGAATTCTTTTCCTGTTGTATTTTTGGACAGTACTAAAACTCAGGCAGTGTCCAGCTTTAAAGCAATTTACTTACACCTGGAGAAATTTGAGACTGTGCTTGTTGAATTCAAAGGAGACAAATGTGATTTGATGCTGTCATGGTTCTACTTTGTAAAATTGCATGTCAAGAGGTAAATAACATGTAGATAGGTTTTTGCCAGCCTTACTGTTTTAGACAAGGATTATAGAAAAGGCTCTAATGGGAACAGTAAGGGCCCAGCTACAAAAAGCAGTTGCTCAGGAAACTGCGGTTTAAAAATTCTTGTTTCTTAGTTCATTTAAAAAGTAAAAATATCATGTGTTTTATTTTAACTACAGGTTGCCTTTATTTGGTAGATACCTTAGCAGGAGATCCAGAGGTTCTTCAAGTAGATGCTGAAACATACTATGAAAAACTCTTGAAGAAATCGTCATCCACTCCTGATATTTTTTCGATCCCTGCAGGAGAAGAGGTAATGGGCTGATGTTTTTCATACGGCAAGTTAGATACTTGCAAGCTAGTTTGTTGGTTATGCTCATAGTCTGCCTGAGAATAGGGGTGAACTGGTGTGGCTGGATTACAAGTCTCTTAAAATCAGCAAATTCTGCATTATTTCAAATAGTTTGCATGCTGCAAATGAGAGGTAAGCTTAAACTACAAGTCTAAAACCCTCTGAGTGTGGATGAGGGTTTGAACTACTTAGCCAAACTTTGCATCTTGACTTGCCTCCTTAGAGGGCTGAATCAAAAGTGAGTTTGCTAGCTGTTTATACCATGGCACAGCTCTGTATTCTGCTTCTACTGTGCAGTTTACACAGGTATTGTGTAATAGTCTATCTTTTGTTTCCATTCTTTCCAATACTTACATTGATAATTTTGAATATGGGTTCTCCCAAAGGAATTCTGATCAGATGTGATTGATAGATGGTATAAATACTGTAGGTGCCAATGCTTTAGGGTCCATTCTTGAGCCACCTAGGGGGAATGCATTGGAGATGACTGAGCGGGCCTATTAAAAATTCTGACTCCAGTCAACATACGAGACCTTTCATTCTGGGCATTTTCTAGATCATAAAAGGTGTACTGGGCTAACTATTATTGTACTATCAAACCTGTAAGTGGATTAGTTGAAATAAATGTTTGGAATATGGTGGCTTTTCTACAATTTAGGAAAATAATATGCAGTAGTTTCCAGAAAAACGCTGTTTTGGGTGGATAGCTTCATCTTTGAGCCGTGAATATAACCAGCTTTAAATACTCTTTTAATGCCCTCTAGTGGACCATGTAGGGTTAAATACAAACAAACCTGAAAATGCAAAGATCCCCCAGTTTAGGGCTTCTGTGTCCTTACCTCAGCCTTTCATGCCTGGTTGTACTTTTAGAGGCTCATTTGCTGTCCCATTAGAAGGGAAGGTAAGTTAAATCCCAAGCAGTGCTGTGTGTATTCCTGCAATAGCTAGACACAGTGAGATCAGTTTAAAGGTGGTCTTATGGCTTTTGATTCAGAACTGTCTTGATTTTGTGGCTTGTCATCAGACCTTAAATATATCACATGACTGATTTGAGTCTCATAGCAACACATTTCTCTTTGCATTCATTTAATTCAGCTCTAATCTAATCTGCAGTCAGCTAGTCAAGGCCATAAGTAACAGTAATGTTCTTGCTGTATTGTTTTTTTCTTATACTGTATAATAAATAGTTTGACAAATGTTGATATTTTGTAATTAAAAATAAATTAAATGTGGTAAGGTGAAGGTCCATCCCCAGTGAACATCTCGGTTAACAATCTCTATTATATACCTACAACCTGAAAGATGAGGATTTTGGTGTTTGAATAATGGCTGCAGTTACCAGGTGTATTTTTTTTCTCTGCATCTGAATTAAAGCAGGTTTCAAGTGGCAGGATTGGCAACCGTGAATAATTATTTAGCAAGTGTTAAGTGGCTGTCAGCCCACTTGCTCGGATCACAGAACTTCTTTTTGGTATGGTATGGTCTTTGGTCAAGCATTTAGTACACAAATAGCAAGGATTATTGCAAGTCAGGATGGAAGCACATTTCAGCTTCCATCAATTGGCAGCATTCATACACAGAAAGCTATGCTTGGCTCATGTTGATGTTGTTAGCACCTGTGAAAGTGCACATTACCTTATAAAACAAAATAACAATCATAGCAGTATTGGAAATAGTGCTGGCCTTTTCATTATAGTAATGCTCCCAACTGCCATAATGACATCAATGGTGTTATATTTGAAGCATGCAAAGAATGACTGAATCCCCAGAACATACTGAGATTTTTGGGAAGCTCATGAATACAGATTTCAGGCAGTTTTCATTTTTTTTTCTGGAGTCCAGTGTTTGCATAGAGGGTCCCAGGATTCTGGTGCTAATAAACTAGTGAACACTAGTTTCAACTTAAAGTTATCTTGAATAATCCGTATTCATACTACTCATTCCATGCACCAAGAAATATTAAATGTATCACATGACTGATTTGAGTTTCATAGCAAACTGACAAATGGGTGCAATTAGAGAGGCACACCCACACATACACAATGGACCAGATTTTTGAAAGTACAGTACATACTGTGCTAAATTATGCACGCTCTTTGCCTGTACCTAAACTTACATGAGAGCATTTGCAATATTCATATGGAAATCGTCATTTCTATGCATATAGAGCTGTTTGAGCACAGTAATTTTGTGTTTATGTGTCACATCATTTAGAAGTTTAGTCTAAGACTGAGAGCTTGAGAGCTGCATTTTGATTTTAGCTTTGCCTTCACCATAACCACCTTGTGCCAATTATCTACCCTCCCTGTGCCTCACAGATAAACTGCCCAGGCACTGCCCTAATGCTTTGATACTCCCTGTACCCTGAGGCTTAATTCATTGTTTGCAAAACACCACAAGTACTCAGCTGGATGATGCTGTAAGAAGTGCAAGTTGTATTTGTTTTTATTTGATGCGTCTTGTCTGTCATAACACCATTTGTCTGCATGTAACAGTGTTCAAAGCCAGGTTATGTACTAATCATAGTAAGTCAGCATTAAGGTCTTCACTAACTTCAGTAGCTTGATTTCTTTTAAATTAACATTACTTACTGATAATATTAGAATTTTATGTATGTTTCAGAGCCTTGAAGTTCAGGATTGAGAGGGTGTTGTGCTAAGCTTATAGCATGCATGTTAGTAAAACATAACTGCATCTAATACATGAAATACTTCTCGTGAGCTTTGCAGTACAAACAGCTACAGGGCTTGTTTGTTTTTTAGGTTAAACTTGAAGATTCCTGTGTGTGTTTTGTCCCTCTCTACCGAAATAATCCTACTTGCAGAATGTTGCTGTTAACTGATCCGAAGGATAAAGAGACAGGTTAGAATTGGTCAAAATATTTTGAAATTTGAGTAGTTGCACTTTCTTTGCTTTTAAGATGGTCTGCTTGTTTATATATTTTGGGTTTTGTTTTGAATATGAACTGGATTCAGTTTACCTGTCAGGGATTTGTGTTGGTGGGCTGCTGATTAGAAAGGAGGATTGACAATCAGGGCTTTTAAATTCTACGCAAAGCCTGCTGGTAGCTGAAAAATCACCTTGGGTAAATGTGTTATTCTTTCTGAGTTTGTTCAATGGGGTAACATTTTTCTAATTCAGGATGATGTGAAATTAATGCATTATAGTTTGGATAGAATTCTGAAATCCTTAAACAAGGGCAAATATATATGTGAAATTGTATTAGGTTTTACTGATTCTTATTCATATTATTTTTACTTTATGATATCTTCTTCAGTCTTAGGTTTAATTGCCTCCTATTTCCAGTACTGGTGTGTGAGGGGTAAATTTGGAGTGAGACCATGCCCAGGAATTGAGTTAAATCCTTTTTATTTGGCAGTTCTCCCAAGATATTCTTTAAACCCTACCAGCTTTGCCTTGCCTACTGCTAGTAATGTTGGTGTTTTCCTAACACAGCCATGTGTCAGCCTGACAGGGATAAACTTCAATTGTGTTACAAGCAGTAGAAGTCAGTACGTGCTTACTGGTGTTTCTGTTTCATGAGTCACTGTTCAGAGTATCAACGGCTTATTAAGATTTGATCAATAATTGTATCTAAGTTTTATCTTCCTGCTATCAGGATCGCAGTATCTTCAGACAGCCTGATTTCTTCCTACTTACTCTCTTAGGCAAGTGTCTTTGACTATGGAATGTGAAAAAATGCAACTGTGTAAGTAACAACTCTTGATACCACTGTCATTAACGGAAACTTGACTCCAAGTTGCATAATACCAAAAGCCCAGGTTGCAACCCATCTAGATTAAATGAGGAGTGTTGAAGCTGTTGTGAAGTGATGGGCTATAGAATTTTTGGAACATTTATGGCAAAGACATGAACCTATGCATTGACCCACTGTGTCACTTAGGGAATACAGAACACAGGAAACCTCTTAAACTTTCAGCTTCCAAACGTGGCAGGAAACTAATGACATCTGTCATTAAAAACATACTTTTCTTTTTTGTTTTGAAAGGGTAAGCTATAAATTATGCCTGAAAGGCTTTAATAGTATTCTTAGTAATACAACAAAGGCAAGACAAAGAAGTTCAGTACTCCATGTTCATTTCAAGCTCCTTTTGCATACAATCTCAATTGGACGTTTGCTAATGGGTTGTAATTCATATAGCTGAAGGTAGGAGACCTTTCCAAGGTACAAGTGTAGTCAAAAGACTTTCTGGTATTGGTATAGACTACTGGTATATACTATTGGTATATAATTAATTTCCTGACATTAATTTATATATTCCATTAACATTTTTCTGAAGCGAGATAGGCAGTGGTGTGATAATGGAGAGAAGTGTCTACACTGGGGGCCAAACTTTGTTCTATGAGTGCAGTTGTGCATACCTACTGATTCACATTCAAAGGAACATAGTTGCAAACAGCATTAAGTTAGTTTAGGCTGCACAAGAGGAATGGGAATCTGTAACAACTACAATGCAAAAATAAAGAATTATTAAATAAATGCAGGTGAAACAGTGCATTTGGCACAAATACTCTGTTAAATGATCTAATAGTATTAGGAACAAGTAGTATTAATGAGATACATGTACACAAGGAAGAAATTATTTCCCACAGGAACAAGTCAAAACAAGTACACGTGGGAGCCTAAATTATATGATAGCTGTCTACATTAAAAGCTTAAACTTAGCAGAATAAACACCTTATTATATTATAAACAACAGACTGACTGACTACTGTGACCCCCTTGCAAAACTTTAGCTTGAGTCACCAGCCCATAGTCACAGAAACAGTCTCAGAGAGATCAGTAAGTCTAGTTAGTTAAGTAAAGCCTACATCATCTGGCTTTTAATATTTACTTTTAAAAGTATGATTTAAAGGATTTTACTGGAAGTTCTTTGTTTCTGGATTTTATATGGTATAAACATGTGGCCAGCCTTCCTACACACATCAAATTTGACTGATGTGATTTTTTCTTTATATGAGTTTTAATAAATTTTCATTAGTTCTCTAAAGTCTGCTGGGGTGTTTGTATATGTGATGCATACCTATACATATGGATATATACATTTGAAGTATTTTGTCCAAATATTTTTCCCACAGTTCAACAGATTTGGAATTGACTCTTAAGGCAGCAGACTGTGTTAAAGTGGCAAGTCTTTCTGGATTTGGTTACCTATGTGACCTTTTGTTCTGACTAGTGAACAGATCAAATTGTTTCAAAACCAATTCCTTCAGAGAAAAGCAGTACTTATTAACTCAGTCATTGTTAGTTAAAGACATGGGCAGAAAATTAAAACACTAAACAGGTTGCATGATTTTTTTTTTTCCCCTCCCTTGAGCTTTAAACTTTTCTTGTGAACTCAAGTTTCATCCAGATGGGAGAGGCAAACAGTCTTGCTGTAGTTGATCTCTTATCTTTCTCATGTGCTGTCCAGTGTGTCTGCATTTTAGTTTTACTTCACACCAGGAGTGCTCTTAGAAGCAAATTTCCTGGTTGTCCCCATGTACTGTGCTTCAGTTCATATCAAGGAGCAGTCTCAGAGTGCGTGGATTACTTTTGGCTGCAATGAAATTAGAGGATGCACTCCAGAAGCACACTGAAGTGCCCCAACCTCCAATGGGCTTTTTGTTTTCAGCACCAGGCTAGAATTTGTGAACATCAGGTTCTCTGCACCAAATGTTTTGCTCTCTGAATTCAGTTTTATTAGTGTTAGTCTTGCTCATACAAACATGGCCCACTGATTTTTCCTCTTGCAATTCATTTGGACATTGCTGAGGTCCAGTCGGGAAAGGCAGCCAAGGGTGTCCCAGGGTACACTGGGTAGAGGTGCGTTACTGAGAAGCAATTGGAAACAGAGTAGAAGATAGAGCTAGTAAGTGTGTAGGGCATGTTTAGTTGTGTACTTCTCAGGTCCTGGTGTGGATAGTGAAGCAGCAAGAAGTATTAGAATCCTCATTGCTTGGTTCTGCCAGAGCTCACATGATGCTCTGAGACTGTATCACATTGCTCCCAAGAGCCACAACCTTCCTCTGCTCTGGTGGCTCTGCTGACTGCTGACTGCCAAAACCCTGGCTAGAGCCTCTTCAATTTAGTTCTCTTCGCCAGCTCTATCCCTGACACCATCGGTTCCTTCAGCTTCGCTCCAACTTCTCCACCTTTGCTCCTGGTGGCTCCCCAACATCCCTCGCCTCCTAAAATGAACTCTGTACAAAGCCTTGACAATTGCTTGGGTTAACCACATACCTGGGCAGTACCTTAATCTGAGTAAGAAAGCTGTATGCCTTGTATGTCTTATGTTCATATGTGGTGGGATTTCCTCTTTCAGCTTCATCTGTGTTTACATCTATAAAGGTTAAGTATTGCATAGGTAAAATGATGTCTATAATACTTATGAAATAAATATCCACTGCAATATACTTATTTTCCCACAGTTCCCAAAGAAAATATTGTCCATCTAATCATTTATGTTTGAAATTCTAGTAATTTAGACTCTGGAAAAATACTGAATTTAGCAGCCTGTCTGCAAGTTTGCCTGTGAAGAGCTTTAAAGTTTGATGGCATTTAATTCTTGGACATAGGTTAAAGAGGGGTTGATTCCAACACAGATTTATATGTGATCATTGTGATCAGATGGGTTGTCCAGAAGTGATGCATAGCTTGTGGTCTGAAATGACCTGCATATTTCAAAGAGAAAATGGGTATGGTTGCTTTTCCATAGGACTTGGTCTTGGTTGGGAGCATTTTTAATTTATTTTTGATGGGCTGAGTGTTCTGTTCTGTTAGCATATCTGTACAGATATTTTTATGAGAATGTAAATTGTGTTGTAAGGGCTTACAAAGCATAGCATGGGTGATTAACATCTTTATAACACTAAATAAACATACCTTATTGTAGCATTTTCTATATGCTGTATATAATAATTTACAATAACTGTTACGTGCCATGGAACATTTATCACAAGACATTTGCAACAAATCACTGAGTAAAACTCGAGTTGTAGAAGAAAATGTAATTGGTTGCGGGAAAAATATCTATCTTAGATACTTGAATGGCTGCTGTTACTGCAGCATCTGCATGCCTCCCAAGCTTTGATGTATTTATTTCAATAAGGCTCTTAGGAGAGAGAGAGAAATGCTTTTATTCCATTGTAAAAACAGGGAATTGGGGGACACAGCTATTCAGGCTGTGTCAATGTTACAGAATGCAGTTTAATGTAGTTTCTCTGAGCTTGCTCTCTTATCAGAGCTGACCTAGGCTTGGTTATGTGGAACTACTTGTTGGGGTAATTTACTATTCTCCTTCCAAGATGGAAATCTGGCAAAAGCAGCCTCTGTAAGTGTGTCATCAATCTGAAATACTGCCAAAATTAAGGTAAAGGTGACTTTAGATAAAGTAAAGCACTGGTACATTTTATATTTATTAAACAAACTCAAATTACATCTCTCGTATAGCATTGTCTTTAATTTAGTTTGTGACTGAAGGATGTGTTTCAGCAATTCAGATAAAGGCTGGGGAAAAAGCAGTACCAAGCTGGATGTTGCTTTAATTTTTCTGCTTTACTCTGTGTGTAGAGTCCTGATGTGCACATTTCATTGAAATAGCTGCACACCAGTGTGGGAACATTTGGCCAGCATAGCCTAGAAAGTAAAAATATAATCCAGACCTGGGTTGGGAAGGGATCCATGTTTGCCTAGCAAAAGGAGACATTTCATAATCACAGTTGCATTATGCTTACTGCCTAATTCAACTCAGTGTTTTTCAGTACTATATTCTGAATACCTGTAATGGTATGGAATCGTGTGCTTCACAGGCTCTCAGCTTCTTGCAACTCTCTGAATATGTCTGTCTGACTGCAAGTGATCAAAGTACTGAGGTTTAGCCAGCTGGTGCTTACAGGGCAAGCCACCCAGCTGAGCATGTATATACTCTATTAACTGTGGACTTAAATATATTGGTCTTAATCCGTTTCACCTAGTCTTACAATTGCAAGACCAAGCACATCAATTCTTGCAATTGCGAGATCTTTGTAATCATACACATCATGATTCAAAGGGTTCAGGTGATGTGTGTAGCTTAATGTTGGCAATAACTTGATCTTTTATGATCAGGTGAACATAACTGAATGTCTTGGAAAGAACAACAAGACTGGGAAAGGAGAGTGAAGGAACATGTGGTCTCAGAAAACATGTTTGCATTTGAAATAGTGTTCCTCAAAGTTGATTATAAAATGAAAATGAGAATATGGGGAAGCATGGATGGATTTAACTGTGGACCAGATGTTGACTTGAAAAATGATAACAAAAAGCAAAGTACATATGTTTGCATGAAATCTGGAGGAATGTTTTTCCTTCAAGGAAGGCATCCATATAGATAAGGTTGCTCAAGTAATGTGATGTGACAGTTGCTATGTCAACTAGTGTTCCCTGCCACACATTTAAATTATTGAATAGCACAGTAAATATTCTATAAAAGTAGCTCCTTAAAACATGGTTATGCATCTTCCTGTTTTCCTCAAAGCTTTTTAAAACTTCTGACCTTTACTATGTGTGTTGTATATGTCTGAACTATGTGCCAAACCTCTGTGCAGCTCCCATTAAAGTCAGCATTTGGCCCATTATATCCCCTTTGTCTGACTCAGCTCCCTTTGTAGCTGCATGTTTCATGGATATGTAATGGAGCAGTGGCTGCCTGCATTTGAAAGCAGAGTGAAGGGATTGAGGGAACAGATTGAATCCATCACAGAAAGAGTATGAAACTCCCATGCAAGTAAGTGCATAATATTTAATGAATTGAATCTGGTGCTATAAACAGGCATCTGCCCTTGCGTGCAATACTTCATTTTTAACCCAGTACACAAAGTGTAACGCTTTTTGGCAAATGCTTTAATAATTTATTTGAAATATAAGTTAGCTAAGCGGAATCTCCAGCCTTAAAGCCGGTGGGAGCTGGTAGAGGCTGAAGCAAAAAGGGAAAACTGACCTGTGCGCATCAGTGACATTTGTATAACCTGAGGCTAAAACAGGTAAATGATGAGTCCTGTTAAAGCCATTTCATGTCCTTGTGTGTGAATTTGTCTCTAACTCATAGACGGCTTTTAACTTCCTTATGTCCCTAGTTGGGTAGCTTAGAAAACCAGTAGACGGTGTACTCTCTTAGGGCTCAAGAGATGTGAACTCCATGCTGTTCTTAGCAACATACTTCCTATATTGTGTTTTATCTTTTGTCTAAAAATGGGGGTGCTAACTGCCCTATTTGAAGATAGTAAAGATATTGGTGTTCTTGAGCAATCCTGAAATTGTGGCCATGTACTTTCTTTAGGTAGATGTCACCGCTGTATGGTTAATAAAAAATGTTTTTGCTGAAATATTTGCTGCTTGATATGTTGGGGGTCATAAATGATCAGATTTCTGTGTTCATTCTGAAACCTAATCTAAACCCCTAAAATCTATTCTCTATCCTTTGAAATGACCCCGTGTTAAAGCTTTTCTTTCTGAACAGGGCTTTGGAGCAATTTCAGTGTCACTGTTGCTGCTTCAGTCTTTCTCTTATAAATCTAATGGCAGGCAATGAATTCTGTAGATGAACATGTAAGTGTAGGGTTTAAATACTTGTTTCTGCATATGTCAAAGATTCAGGAAGGATGGGAAGAAGTAGGGTGCAAGTTTTGCATAACACCTACACAAGGACTTGACTTACATGTAGGTTGGTCATACACTTTGCCCTGAAGCAAAAGTCTATCTTACTTATGTGTGCATATGTCTGTCCTTTGTTGATAGAAACCTCTCTGCATGCATTTGAACTTCTGTGAATAAATGTCCATGTGGAGATTTAGGAGTCTGTATGCTAAAAGTATAGATATATAGAAATTCAGTCACATAGGTATCTGAAAAGCTATTTGATAAAGTGGATATGAAAACTTTTGTGTTTGACTTGCGTGGGTGCAAATACGGGCATGTAAGCATGTGGAGAGGGGAAAGTCTGCAAGAAACTTCAAAAATGTAACCTTTAGCTAGGTAGTGCTCTCTGTCCCAAATGCCACTCAAACTTACTATGCTACTGAACAGATATTATGCAGGAAGTGCTTTGTTCATATGGCTCACAGGTTGTCACACCAAAGTCACATCAATTCCTGAGAAAAATTATCTTCACTTGATGCCTCATGTGGTACTGAAAATTGGATATCAAGGGACACAGAGGTGAAATTGGAATACAATTGTTGTTCTGCTGTCTCACAGCAGATCAAACTGGAATCAGCTGGAGGGAGAAGTAGATCTGAGACTGTTTGTGGAAAGGTTCAGAACCAACTTTGTATTTATTTGCAGGTAATGTGTTCCCCTGTCTTTTTCTTTTTGTAGTTTTGGCAGTTTATTTGAACCAGTGTTGGTGGCCTGTTGAAGATGTATTAAAGACGGCTGATCCTTCCAGAGATGGGCTAATTTCAGTAAGGATGCTATTTTAAACAGTTGCCTTTACCCTGGAACTTCCTGGCTAGAACAATCATATGTAATTGTCTCTGGTCTCCTATAGTTCATGCTTTATAACCTGGGGGATCTGGGCTATGTGGTTCACCAAGTACTTCACATGTCTCCCATTCACAGTGACATGCACATTAATCCTCTGTAAACAGTTTTCTGCATGCATTTTATGATTAATTTGTGGGATTTATTTTGTTTTGTTTTTAGTTTACCCTCACTGCCTACTAAAGGAATAATCAGATAAACCAAATTACTACATTAGCAATAACTCTTCATGTTAGTGTTGCTTGACTGACTGATGGGAGGTGTTACTACCCTTTAGAACAACGCCTTATCTAGCTCATTATGAATTTTTTTGCCTTGGGTAATGTTTACATTGTGTTCATTTTATGAAATGGTTGTTATTTAATAGTTTCTATATCTGTAATTCTTTTTCCCAATAAATAATCTTAGGATACAACTACTTTTTCGTAATTTGAGAGATTTGGGTAGCCTGTAGTGTGTTTTCAACTAAGAAATCCGATGCCTACTGCATATGAGATTTGTGTTGCCATGAGGTTGTTAAGTCAGTTCTGTTTCCTATCCAACCCTCTGTGTCCAGCTTTGGTCCTTAATGGTTCTGTTCCTTTATCATCTTTCCCTAATATCTGCCGTACATAGAGTTTAATTATTCACTGAATTAAGTAGGCTTTTTGTGGGTGACTGAACTGGAGGGAATTTGAGATACAAATCCTTGCAAGATAGAACTTGGGGAAGAAACACAGGCCTTCGGGCTTTCAAGCATCTGCTGTATCAACAGAGAATGAAAAAATACATGAAAATAGAAAACTTGCCCCTTCTAGCTCATTGCTAAGAGGTAAGTTGTCATTATTTATGGAAATTCTCATTTTCTTTTTCAGCATTCATATAAAGCTTGTTGGCACCACTTTTTACCTTGATGACCAATATGATCTTGTTCCTTTATATTCCTCCATCTCCCTGTCCTGTTGGTTGTCTAGTAAGAAGCACAGCATAAAAACTAACTGTTCATGTTACACCTAGATTATAAGCTGTTTGGGACAGACTGTATTTATTCTGTTTTGTATAGTGCCTACCTCAGTAAGGTCCTGACCCACTAAAGTTTTTTGATGCTGTGGCAAGACAGGTGATAGGGGAGAGGTGACCAGGATAACACAGTGAATCCTGTCTTTATTTCACTTTTGGGTAGGATTAGATTGCCTTGATCCTGTTTCCAAATCTGTGACTAGTTTGCTGTGACTACAATCAAGATACTTCTTTTCCTGCTGCTTTAGAATTCCTCTCTGTGACAACAGGAGATACGTCAAGCTTCATAAATTGTTACTAAATTATTCTATGCCCTCTGGATAGAGGGTGGAACACTGGGAAAAACTGTTTTTGTTATTCTATCTGAATCAATTCATGAAGTATTTTCCCAAAATTAAGTGTACATGTTTCCTGACCTCCTCCATCCCAGCCCCTTTTAATTTGGAAGCCTTTTATGAAACACAAAATACTATTCTCTGCTTCATTTTTCTTTGGTCTGTTTTTGTTTGTTCTCTAAGGTCCAGACATTTCGAGAAAGGATTGTCCTCTTTGTTCTGAACTACATTATTTTCGGAATGCTGGAAGGGAGTTCAGCTAATGATGCATTCTTTCTACCTCACTCTGCCACCGAGTGTGCCAAGATACTCTGGAGAAATGGCGAGGCTGTTGCCTTTTACTCGGTCAAGATGAAAGGTAAGGTCATTTTAGAGACACATTTCCATTGGTTCCTAAGAGTTAGAAATGTAATCCTTTTGTTTATCTTTCAGTATAAATAATCCTGGCTCTAATTTACATTTTTATATCAAATCTCTCTCAGAATGAATCTGGGGAACAAACCTTCCCAGAATTTGGAAGCCATCCATATTACTTTCATTTAACACAATGGTTCCAAACTCTATTCTCAGTTGCACTGAGTGATCTGAGGTACTGGCTTATCCCAATAAAATATATTTTAATGCAGCCAAGTAGAAGGTCGTACATCTAGGAACAAAGAATGCAGGGCCTACCCACAGAATGGAGGACTGCGTCCTGGAAAGAATGATACCTGAAAAAAGGAGTACAGTTCACAGTGGAAAACCAGTGTATCAGGAATGGCTGGTGGCAAGAAGTGGCAATATCCTTGGATGTGTAAGAAGCAGTGGCTGGGTTGTGTAGAGGAAGGTGTGTGCACTTGATCAGTCCTGGAATGCTTTGTCCAGTTGTGGTACTCTCTGTTTAAAGGATGGTTATTGATTTAATCATTAATTGATTAACTAGTATAGAAAAGAAACAAGATGTATTTGATTCTTTAGGGATACTTCCACCAGTATAAGCTTTAGCAAAGGTCTTTTATTAAATAGTGAGTTTGTATTAATGCAGGTACATTGCTATTAACCAGTCTAGAGTGGAAAAGGCTTCATTAGAATAACTCTAGGTATGCAGTTGAGTATGTACCCCCATGTAGGAACTGGTTACCAGTCTGCGCTTAAGATTCATGGGTGTCATCTTGATACCAGCAGCTTAAATGTAGAGAAGTTGGTATCTTTGGAGGTAGATTATTGTTCAAGTCAGCAACCGGTAGCCATCTGTCCAAAAGGGGAGAATAAGAAAGAGCTTGAGAGCTGTACAGGTATGGATTGCTTAGGATTCCAGAGGATAGTCTGAAGGTGCCTTTTCTGATAGACTCTCAAAGGCCAGCAACAATAAGAGGTGTTCTGCTCTTCTGCTGCCTTGGGATATGCAAAATCCTTATTCACGCCAAGGTGTAGCTTGTACACCACTGTGCTGGTACAGTGCTACTGTACTATAATTGATGAATCAAGTCTCAGTCTATAATAAAAGAATCTTGTAAATATCTGTGAATATGCTGGTGAACTGGTTTGTAATCAGCAAACACTTCAATTGCCATAGTACATTTTCCTTTAAGTCCATAAATATTTCTGAGCAAAGCTTTTGGAAAGAAACACTTGTATGGGCTGTAATGATTCATGCTTCAGTAAAATAAATTTGCACAGTAGTCTGTTATGGGTGGAGTATTAGCCAAGTTGAAACTGTTTCTGAGTAAGTTGAGAGTCACAGTTTGGTTTTAAACCAGGTCCACATAAAATACAAATTCTTCAAGTCCAGCTTTGTCAGCATCTGTCTCTTGTTGCCAGCGGTTTTTTTCTCTGGGCAGCTATATTTGTTAGTTTTTGGCCTGTGTCACAAATTACTGCAATCTTTTGCCAAAGTCTTTTCGGGAAGCTTGAAACAGATTGTTTTTGCCCCTTTTTGCTATTTGCTGTATGCATTTAGAAAATAATTCCTCTTTCTGAAGTTCTGTGATTTCAATTTCATACCAGCCATGCTCTGGCTGATCCTATTCTCTCTACTTTCTAGGAGAGCCATGGATTTATTAGGCCCCAAACAGGCTAAGATAAATATCTTCTCTTAGAAGTTGTATTTCACATGGTTGTTTTAGATATTTTTTTTAACTTTTCTTTTTTTTTTTATCATAATGCAAGTTCTTTTTCCTTTTACTGTCCTGGTCAGAACATTTAGTAGGGGCAACTTAAGCACAGGACTTTACATTGTGCTGGACCTCTCTTACAGCTTCTGGTCCTAGGAAGAAATTATTTTCCTCTGTGCCCACCATGTGATTCAGATTCCCTTTATTTCCATGCTCTGCAATTACCTGGCCATTCTTTATAGTTTTGTTTTCTTCATTAGGTAATTGAGACTCTGATGCTGATGTTGTATTCAACTGTATTTCTCATCTGTGAATTTTCCATTATCTACAGTACGACAAAAACCATGCTTCAGTGGAGCCAAATAAGCCAGAACAGATCTGTGGAGCATGGCTATTTCAAACATAAGTCATCTGGGTGAATCATGGAAACGGTGACCAAGGAGGAGAGAGTCTGTTCTATCTTTGCTACAGATTTAGTGTGCCGTTATGCAAACTAAATTTTCAATGGACTTCAGTGATTCTAATTAACTATCTTGGCAATGTTGTAAAGTCATTTCCATTTGCCAGTTCCTAGGTGGCCTGTACAAAGTGAACTTGGTAATTTTGGTCCAGTTCCACACATCCATCCATCTTATGAACATCCTTAACTGGATCTCTTTTGATAGTCTAGCTAAAGAGGGGCAGATGGTCTTGAGCACCCACCTTGCTCAGAGACGTAGTAACTGCAAGACAAGGTTTTGAGACAATTTGGCAACTACTGACACTGGCCATCCTGCACCTGTTGTGTAGATAAACAGAAGACTCATTCTTCAAGGCTATCACTTTTCATGAGCATTAGACACCTTAATTAAAACAAAATTTATTCATGACTACACAGATCATCAACCTAGCCTCTCTGGTATGTGCCTATTCCTGTCCAATGACAGGCATGCAGCATTTACCACTGGGTATACTAAAGATTGATGAGACGTACTAAGCCACTAATGAGGCTGATAAGACACTTTGTCACGTGCCAAGATAAATGTCTCCAATTTTATCTATGTCAGCGGCTTCCGTATTAGACAGCTGAGGAGTTAGACCTCACTGAATATAGCTACTTAAAGGTACAACACGAAATGACAGTTCCCTGTCCCTGTACCTTTCGTTGCAGACAGCAACCTGAATATGAAATATTTTGCAGAAAGCCTTCATATAGATACTTGGTTTTGAGATATGTTTTATGTTCTTTTAAGTATTTCTATCAGATTTTTTTCTTAGCATGTTCTAAATTTGTGTGAAAACCTCAAAAAGAATGTTTTGTGTAGTGATGCAGGATTAATGATCATGGTTACTGACACTATTTTTTGTGCAGTGAGACCTTGTAATTCCCTGAAAGTTTTTCTTTTTTATTTACTGAGGACTAGTAATTACTGAAAATGGACTTTTACCACCTTCACATAAATGTCAGGAGAATGTAGAAAATTCATAGTGCAAATAAATCAGTAAGGAAGTTGGAGGATGCTATGAGCCAGGAGTGTCTTAGTCCCTTTAAGAATAAAAGAGAACAAACCTCATTTTTTATATACAGCTTTTTTTTTTTTTCCCCTACTGTTAATGTATTACTGTTACTATAACACACAGGAGCAGCCCAGTTGCAGACCAAGCTGTCTGCGGTACAAAAAGCAAAGGAGTCAGATTGTAAAAGCTTGTCCCTTCCCCAGTTCGTTGTGTCCCTTTTGTCAGATCTTAGTAGTAGAAGTGTGGAGAAAGATGGTGTTCTCTGTGATGTGAGTCAAACCAGCCTTAACAAAATTGGGTCCTCTGAGAAGGCTGTAAAACATGCAGTTGATCCAGGAGTAAATGCATTGTTGGCTTCTCATTCATTCTTTAGAGATGCTCCATAAATCACAGTTTGGGAACACCTGACTGCAAGAACTCTAAGCTGATATAAAGTAGGCAGCAAAGCAACTGTGGCCCAGTTTCTGCTTTTTGCTACCCCAGAGCCTTAGACAGTGGTCTTTGGAAGTGGCTACCCAAGCTAAAATCCATTTCACGCCCCTCTTCATATCAGCCTTCGCAAATTTCTTTTAATACTTTGGTGGTCCAGGTGGTATTCTCTAGAAATAAATTCCTGCAAGATAATAGGATTTTATTTTTCACTGATTACATACATTTATTTTAGAAAAAAAAAAATTAAATCAGAATTGAAGTTAACCTGACAGACAATAAGCTGAAATCTTGTTGGATAATTGCTTTTGTCTCCCTCTGTTTTCTAGCAATAATATTTTTAATGTGCATATCTGAGGCAGACTGAAGGTTCTGGCTGTAATAAAAATTAAATGACTACATACCAGTCAAGACATGAATTCATTTAATTTTATTGAAGCCAGAACCTTTGTTCCTCTTCTCACATACAAACTCACACAATGGGTTGACCTTGGGTTCTATTCAGCAGAAATATTCCCCACCCTTTACACAAGTACTCAGCCTGCTTAAGGCCTGTCCAAACATGTGAGTGCCAAGCCAACTTGTTCAGCAGGGAAATAGTCAGTATGCACAACCTTGTTTTGTTTGGGTCTGTTGGATGTGGGGACTGGATTGTTTTTTTTTCTGGTTTGTGGCTCTTTGGGAATGCTAATGGGTGTCTGCTTTCCTGCCCTTGTAATATCTGTTTACCATTTTGCTGGCTCATAAGTTGGTCATTTGGCACTCGTGACCTAACCAAACAGATCAAAGGCTTTCAAAGGGCAGACTGTACGAATACTTCCATCTCCATCGCCAATGCCCTTATTTTCCCTGTCTCCTCCCTCACCTCAAAACTTAGTCTCTTTGTGTGTTTCAACAATGAAACAAACCTCTGAACCAAATGTGTGAGACCCTAGTGGTCACCTCTGGGCCACCATTAGCTTATGGTAACCTCTTTGCTGTTGGATGGGAACTAGAGACAAAGTGGCCTTTGTTCCAAAGGTTGGTTTGTTTGTTTATTTTATTTCAAATGGCTGTGGGCTATGACTTCTAATATGTTTCCCAGGGACAAGGTGAAGAATGGCTTCTTGGTTTCTTTATTTACAGTGCCTTAAACATTACAAGTTTTTGTTGTCTTCTCAACACAAAATTAGGAGCACAGACATAAATCACTTGGCTCCTGGGATTGCTGCACTGCAGTCTCATCAGGATTTATAGGAAACAGACTATATGAGGTAGTAATAAACTTATAAGGACCCTTGCAACATGAAGGAATTCTTAAAGCTATTGATTTCATAAGGAAAAGTTTGTCCCTTTCTTAGAACGTATGGTGCAACACTGCTGGAATCCAACATCTCTGTTGGGCTGGCAGCTAACAATGGGACTGGGGATATACTCAATTTTTTGGCTCATGAAAAAAGGGTAACTACCCATCATGTGTTACAAATATTGAAAGGTTATAAACACCACCACAAACCATCCTTTTCCAACAATGTGCTTGAACACGTGTTTGAAGTTAAACATGCACTTTGATTAAGCAGGGGCGGACCAAGCCTGGATATGAATTGATTGGTTATGTAGTTACATACTCTTGTTGTATGGCTGAGTATGTGTGATGTGGATTCTTGCTAAATGAAGAGCTACAGCCTTGACAAATCAGGGTCTAGAATTAAATATAGTCATGTATGCTTTGCTGAATTGTCATCCTAGAAAAGAGAGTAATCAAAGTCAGGCCTGGCAACTATCAGCAAAAGGTACTAGACACCAACTCAAGGGACCGAAGCAGACCTCAGTTTAAGATAGCTATGGGGTTGTGATAAAGAAAAAAATGGTTCTATTAAGTAAAAGTCTTATACTGGAATTTAGGAACAGCCATTCAATAGGAGATCTGTGAAACTGTGAAATAGGTCTTAAGTGAAGCAATGAAAGTTTCATGTGTCAAGACACTGAAAACTAGACTGAGTGGTACACTAGTAAGTGGTAAGAAAGAAAACCGAGAAGGTCTTGATGAGATTTAAGCAACAAAGTAAGAAAATTTTATCTTTTTCTGTTATAAAGGCCTGGATATCCATTTCTATTTAAATTGCCATGTACCGGGATCGAAGCAGCATAAAATCTTTATAAATATTTTCTAACAATGAAAATAAATCAGCGAGATGTTTATATGGTGACCTTATCCTATATGTAGGTAGTTGGTGAACTGATGTTGGTCATTCATTTCAGGGTTGAATGCTTATGCTAAGTAGTTTGAGGTTCTGTCTTTATGGTATTGTGCACTGAATGGAAGTTGTACAGTGAATTGCTAATGTACCTCCTGCAATAGGACCCTAAGTTGTTTAGGGTGACATTAAAATTTTGGACCCTGAATGTCTGTTCTTAATCAACTTTCTCTTGACTCCAGTTTGAGTTTACCATACATGATTGCAAAATAAAACCCTTGGTTCTATTTTTTTTTTGACAGTTTTCACTGAGGACTGAGTTTTAATAGTTTGGAGGCTTATACTTGAGTCTGTATTTTGTCCACATGTAAAGCATTATGTCATGTCCCCGTGATTTCAAGTGACTGACTTCGTGTGTTTATTAGCAAGGACTGTCCTTGAGTGAAAACCCTAGTTTAACACTGATAGTAGCAGTTCAAGCGATGGACTAGAAGAAGGTACATGTGTGATAAATTACCACTCAGTAGAAATTGAGTGACTTACAAAGGAGCACTTACAGTATTTTCTTAAAATGCTCCACTCAGTTGTTTATGGCTTTATACCCAAGTGCCTTAATTAGTGTCTATACTCATCAAGTGATGGACTTCCTTTCCTCTGGCCCAGAGTCACTGTGAGCATGAGCAGTTAGGGATCTGTTTCCAGTTTCAGGTGGAGCAACCCCAACACTTCTTGTGTGGTTCTCTTACCAACAAAGGGTTGAAGATGACTGCTGAGTATGTGTTGACAGATAACTGAACGAAATATTCTTTTGTAAAGTTGTCTGTGGAATTTACTGAACTAGAAGATCAAAGACTGAATATGGAGTAAGAGGGTTGTATAACTTTCTGACCAGTAAAAGTCAGAAAGGAGGTGTAAATGATGGGGCCAGTCAAGTTTCATACTTAGGAGTATTATCACACCATTTGGGAATGCACAACAGCAATGTATGCAGAGGCCAAGAGAGCCTCTCTTCTCTCCCTGCAGACATTATGAAATTGTTAGCTTCAACAGTATTGGGAGTTTTCTCTGGAAGCCTTCTTCACTGTCCAGCTGCATCAGGCAATATGGACCTTCTGAGTATTTAGATCATGCTGCATTGTGTGGTTCAGTGTATTTCATGAAAAGAATTTGTGGGGTGATTTACCAGAATAGCCAAAAGCTAAAGGAATATACTGAGATTACATTCAGAATAATGATGCCTTTTCGGGTATAGCCCAGTTATATCTTTTCAGTGAACTTTCCTACATACATTGCCTGTGTACCTAGATGGTCTGATTATGAAGAATTGGAGTCTGGAAAATACTGTGGTGAGATCTGTAAACCACATGTTAAGCAGGTTCTCTCAGTTTGATGGCACAAATCTTCCTCCTGGAAAGTGTTTTACTGTCTATGCAAATGCACTTCAGTTGGGGTCATCCTCATAGCCCATGGAAAGGTATCAGGGCAGTATTTGTGGCTAGAATCACACAGCAGTTAGTGCAGCAATACTGGTTTTGTTTTCAAATTAATGTATTTTTTTACTGTCTGCTTTCAGGGAGCCTATGTGATGGTACAACCAGTCAATGTTACTTGCTGCCGGTTTTGGATACTATATTCGTCCGGAGAAAGTACAGAAGAGATGGCCTAGGGATGAAAATGCTGCATGATTTCTGTCAGTCTTTCATGGCTGAGGATGCCTTGGGGATCAGCTGCCCTATTTCTGCTGCCATGTATCAAGGTAAGTCGTTTGATGTGGAAATGTTAGGTAAGGGTTATGTATAATGTATAAATTTCAATATGGTCTTGGTAGGTTTTTCTTAACTATATAAGAGTTCAGTGCGCTTGTCTGAACTGAACTGTTGTTAGCGTGCAAATGGTTACTTTTCTTGAGACATCTGGAATTTCCTGTAGCGAGGTAGGCCAATATTTATCTAAGACAATGAGAAGCATAGAACTCATGCTGCCTGTTTGACATTTTGCATTCTTATCTCACTCTCTCTTAGAAATAGAACTGTGTCCTTGTCCTAGACAGTGACTTACCCATTTTATTTCACACCACAGGGAAAATAATTGTAAGATGTTGTCAAGCCTACACTATGCACATAATGCTCTTGTAGATACTGCATTTGTAAGAAATTAGATTTAATAAGCCATATACCTAGGCTCTGCTCATTCATCCAGTTACGTCACTTTGTGTTTCATATTGACTGTCTTTGAACATTTGTCACTTTTAGAAGATCACTAAGTAGTTATACGTCTTCTCTGTGTTCAGGTTGAAGTTCTGGTTTTGCTAGTAAAATTTGCAGAAAATATCTGTGCTCACATTATTTATAAAACTGTTTTCTTTAGAAAAGCATTTTTTCCTAAAGTTGCCCTCTGTATGGTATACAGTCTTTCCCATCATTTTTTGGGAGATGTTTCTATTCACTTATGACTTTACAGCCATTTCCTAATAAGTGTCAACAAAATTTTGACTGTATCTGTTCTTTCTCTTGGTCAATATGTGCCATTGAATGTATGCAAATATACCCCAATGTATACAAATGTACCCCATGAGTTTCTGAGGTACTACTACTTCTAAATTCAGGAAGGAAATAGTATTGGCAACATTCTTTCTCTGCTCCCAGTAATATCCATTTTTCCTATGGCAAGCATCAATGGGTTAGACATTATGGATCATAAAACTGCATTGTTTATGTGTTAATGCTAGTGATATATTGCAAGACTATGCTTTCATCTCGATTAAGTTTAGAGCTAATAGTGAATAAATTTGACTTGTATCATGTTCTAATTAGGTTTTCTGGGTCCTACTTTTATAAAAATACTACTGGTGTACATTTAAATTTTGAGTATATTGAAGTCACTGCCTGTTTTTAATTTTATTGGAACCACAATCTCATACTCTGACAAAAGAATGCAACCCTTTACTCTAAATCGCTGTACTAAATGTGCACAGTTTTCACTAGGATGTTATTTAATGTGCTATAGAGACCTAAAAGCAAGTAAAAAGCCATTTAGCAGATATCTCTATTTTGGCATATGTGTTATTTTCAGTAGCATTTATTGAAATGTTTAATTTAGTTTGGATATCCTTCAATAAAATTAATGACATCGATCTGCTCATTACTGTAAGGCAAATGTTTACATACCAGAATTCGGGTTTTTGTTTTGACATCCCATTGATAAACTCAACTGAATGTTGAAGATAAATTACCCATTCTGTAGTATCATGAGCTACAATGGACAGAGGAGAGCATGAAAATAATTTTGTTGTCTACAGATTGCTGTCTTAGTACAGCTGATGGAACTGATAGAATGGTGGTTAAGGAAAGTTTAAAAATACCCTTTAAATTTGTGGAACCGTTTGTCCTACAACATATGCCTCCTCTACAGATTTCAGTTTGGTAACATACGCAAACCTAAATATGATTGTTTATCCAAATTATATTAATGTTCAGTATGTATTGACAATGATGGGAATCTGTGGAATATGGTTTCTAAAGGCGACCATACATCTAACACAGGTACCCCTGTTACTCCTCTGTTAGTTCTTCCTATTTCCTGTTTTCCACACCCAAAGAAGTAAATGAACTCCAGCAACAGAGTATAGGGTAGCAGTAGTAAAATGGAGGGTGGTATTGGCCTAAGAACAAACTGATAGAAAGGTTTTGTTTATAAATAGAAATTAGAGTAGCATTCTTAATGGTTAAAGCTGGAAGATACTGAAACACCTTTAATTTCAGAGTAGTGAGGGTGAAAAAACCCTTACTGCTGTTAGTGTAAAACCTGCTAAGTGTCTGGAGATAGTTCTGTGATGCAGTGCCAGAAGAAGGTGGCTCAGTAAGTCATTTGAAGTCCTGTGTTTCTGTGCTCACAAGGAAGTAATCTAGACTGAAGCAGATGGACAGGATTCACTTGTGACTGTTCAGGTCATTCCACACAGACTTTTCCTAAAACCCCCAGCTAAAAGAAAAAAAGGAAGATGAGAAGACACAAGAAAATATTTCCAAAGGAACTAATGAAAGTAGGTCTGAGAGAATGTCGGGGATAGAATACACTCGCTCTTCCACTGCACTTTTCACTCATTCATGCTTTTACCCCTTGGTTTCTCCTACTCAGTTTGCCAGAAATTCTTGCAGACTTATCCCGAGGAGCAGAAGCGACTGTGGGAGGTGGAAGCACCAGGAGATTGGAGCCAGCGAGTGAATATCTGGTTGAAAATTCAGATGGAGTCATCCCCTTCAGGAAGTGAGTTAAAATAAACAGTGTGAACTTGGCCATGTTAGTTATATAAAGATAAGAAATAAAATCAAGGGTTAGGTTGTGATAACAGATAGGTGGTTTCTCTGTTGTTTGCAAATGCAGAAACTACTGAGTGTGCAGTCCTGTTCACTGGTCTTTTCCCAGTAAACAGGACAATTCTTAGAAATTTTGAGGTAATGAAATTGAACTACAGAGCATCTGAGAGAGAGCGAACAAAGCACGGTCTTGGCATAAAGTGGCTGTAACTCCCATTGCAGTGCACTTACAGCAGGGTAGAAGTTAGCCCAAAAAATTCCTGTCGCACAACGCGATGTCTGGGTTATAGAGAGGGGGTTTCTCTTTGAAATTATTACGAAGAAGAAATTTGAATTGCCAATGGGCAATGTGTTTAATTACCTTCAAATTGCTGCCAATACCATTCTTGGATGAAAACAAACATTTTCACTATGGCTTTTGGAAGATTCAGAGTGCCCTCCTACAGGGTAAATCCTTCTTGCTGGGAGCATTTTCTGCCTACTTCACAAAAGATAGCAACAGAGTAGGAAAACCTTTTGACAGTGCATACAGGGATCTTGTTGATGTAATCTGTTCAGCTGGCTTGAGTGTCCAGACAGGTTCCTCTGCTGCAGGCACACAAGCCGTGATATGCATTAGGTTCCAAAAGGACACACATTGTCTCTTCCTGGAAGTGCAGCAAGGAGTGCTGCAGAGCAAATTGCTCCCATGCCATCCCACATCCATCCTGCTTTCTATTGGCTTGGGGACCTTCAGTTGAGACATTGTGTTTCATCTTGTCTGCAGCACCCCATGGGAGAGTTAAGTCAGAATTTAGCCCTAGGCTGGATTTCTCTCTGAAGCCATTATATTTATGTTCCTCGTGCTTTAAACCAAGAAAAACTGGTGTTGCTCTTTCCTTTAATCCATCTTGCTAAGTTCAGTTTATTAATGGCAATTGAAGAGAACTGTGATCAGATCAGCAAGCAGAAAGTGTATCCTGGAGGAGGGTATACTTTCTTTTTTCTTCTTTTTGCCATCTTCTACAAAAACAAACAAAGGAAGAGAAACAACCCAGAACATGGGTAAATATAATTCCACGAGAGTTGCTGTCAGTAAAAAATACACATGAGGCCTGGGAACTGCCTTGGCCAGTTCTGCACATAAGTGAGATATCTCGTATCTAGAAAAAGAGGAAGGACGGAAAGTATAAACCAGAAATGGGTGTGGGTGTGTGTTTATATATATTTATATGGATTGTGAATTGCAATGTGATCTTTGTAGTGGAAGTAAGCAGAAGCAAGTGAATTTGGCACTAAAATGTATAATAAAAATCTGCTTTTTAAATTATATTCTCCACTCTGGTGCACAGCTCACTGGGCATCACTTTCTTTTACACCGAATATGCCGAACAGGCTTTATTTCATCCATCTTCAATGCAAAATCAACCCACTATAAAAACAGTATTTAAAACAGTGTGTAATACATTTATTATGTCTGTTTTACATATGGAACCTACTTGTGTGCTTCTTGTGCTTGTATTATCCCAGTACTGTGCATATTATGCACCCAGGGAAATACCAAGGGAGAGTGCAGGACAGATAATGCCTGCTAAAACTAGGGGAGAGTTTCCATGGTTTTGCTTTGTCCTAAAGGCAGCATTACTCCTGCATAGCTCTGTCTGATAGCTGGTGAGGAAATAGCAAGAGAATTTTCCACGGGTTCATGCTATCTGTTAAGAGTAGATAAAGCAGAAACATTTTCTGAGTGCAAGAATCCTTTATCATCTGACCTAGTGTGCTGCTTACCGTACATGTAAAGAGAAGCTTGTGTTTCCAGAGTTGTTGTATAGGGACACAGAGAGGAAAATGATGTGGCATAGAATGGAAACCACTGGAGTTGTACACTTATGTGTTCCATACACACACAATTATTTAGATTTTCTGCAGATTTGCAGATGACACCAAGCTAAGTGGTGTGGTTGACACACCTGAGGGACGAGATGCCATCCAGGGGGACCTGGACAAGCTCAAAAAGTGGGCTTATGTGAACCTCATGAGGTCCAATAAGGCCAAGTGCAAGGTTCTGCACCTGGGTTGGGGCAATCCCTGGTATTAATACAGGCTGGGGGATGAAGGGATTCAGAGCAGCCCTGTGGAGAAGGACTTGGGGGTGCTGCTGGATGAAAAGCTGGACATGAGCCAGCAATGTGCGCTCGCAGCCCAGAAAGCCAACCATATCCTGGGCTGCATCAAAAGAAGTGTGGCCAGCAAGTCTAGGGAGGTGATTCTGCCCCTCTGCTCTGGTGAGACCCCACCTGCAGTACTGCGTTCAGCTCTGGAGCCCTCGGCACAGGAAAGATATAGACCTGTTGGCTTGGGTCCAGAGGAGGGCCACAAAAATGATCAGAGGGATGGTATACCTCTGGTATGAAGAAAGGTTGAAAGAGTTGGGGTTGTTCAGCCTGGAGAAGAGAAGGCTTCGGGGACACCTCATTGCAGCTTTTCAGTGCTTAAAGGGGGCCTATAAGAAAGATGGGGACAAACTTTTTAGCAGGGCCTGTTGCGATAGGATAAGGCTTAATGGTTTTAAACTAAAAGAGGGTAGATTTAGACTGGATATAAGGAAGGAATTTTTTACAATGAGGGTGGTGAAACATTGGAACAGGTTGCCCAGAGAGGTGGTAGATGCACCATCCCTGCAAACATTCGAGGTCAGGTTGGACGGGGCTTTGAGAAACCTGATCTAGCTGAAGATGTCCCTGGTCATTGCAGGGGGGTTGGACTAGATGACCTTTAAAGGTCCCTTCCAACCCAAACTATTCTATGATTCTATGATTCTATCTTTAGGGCGTCACTTGGGAACACAGTGCTTCATTCCTACTTGCTCTGTTATGTAGAAAGCAAAACACAATGTAATTCAATATTGTCAGCTCCAATCTGGATCTATGGCAACAACTATGAAAATAGACAAGTCTTATTCTCCTCTGATTTCTTAGATCCCCATTGACATTTGCAATGCTATATTTTGGAACAAAATTATTGAGAAGAAAAATTGAAAATTATGCTCGTATTACATCCCCCCCCCCCCCCCCCCGGCACTCAGGATTGAATACTATTAATGTTGTTGTAAGAATTCTGCAATCACAGATATTCTGAAAAAGGTTTCTATAACCCTGAGGCCAGAATTTTGAATTTTGCAAGGTTATGTTGTGGCATCTAGTGGCATTATGGGTAAACTGCAACACTGCGTTTACTGCAACTGATACTTCAGTTTGGATGTGCACGGATAAGTAGACATATATATTTCTGTCTCCATGTATACATATATCTATAAAAATAAAGCTCTTTAGCATATTGTCACACATAGCTGCAATCATTCATTCTGAATTAATTCCTATTGTTTCAAAAATGGAGAGATTTATTTACAACAAATAGTCTCAGTAACCGGAACACAGTGACATTTCTCTTCTGGGGCTGACTGGAGGAACAGAAATTGTTTAATATGATTTGGTCCTAGTTGCTAAATCTACCAGGCAGTGAAATGAGCTGTTTTTGAAGTAGTTTAGTAATATACATAAAGCATGTAAATGTGAAGATAATGCAAAAAATAAGCAGACCGAGCAAGAGTTAAAATCAATTTCAAATGATTGCTTATAATCCTTTATCTGAATTGATCAGAGTATCTGCATTTTCTGAAAGGGAGGAAGGGATATGGGTTTTCTGGGTGTAAGAGATGAATAGATTATCTATTTAGCAGAACTTTCAAGATAAGAAAGACCCAGAGACATTTTGTTGCCAGTACAGTTGTTGACCTTGGTCTTTTGTGGTAGTGTCGTCAGGCACCCTGGTTTGGTTAATTGACAAAGCAAGGCAAGAGGGTTGAAGGTAGCATTCAGGTGGCTTTTTCTGGTGTGTTTTTTAAATGAAAATTGCCATGGAAGTCTGCTAACATTTTTTCCTTTTTAATCTCTTTCGGAGGCAAAACTATTTACCCCATTCCTCCAGAGGCTGAAGTGAGCTCTCACATAGAAAATGCTCAAACCAGTAAACCCAGACAATCAGATGTGGACCAGATGAATGAGGTACAGTGACTAATTTGCTATTTTATGACTTTCTTTTTCATTGGTGGCCTTTTCCCCTTTTAGTGAAGTAGTGAGGTTTAAATATGAGAGTCCATCACAGACAAGTATAGGTGTTTTTTTACTCCTGACTCATAGGTTTATGTGGGTAATCATAGTTGTATAATATATATATATATGTACACGTATAATTGATTCATATAGCTAATTTATATAGCTGTTGTAGTTTGAGAGGCTAAAGACTACAGGATAGTTTTCGCTAAATATTTTAGTTTGATCCTTACCGAGATAAGGGAAGTGTAACTAAGCTGGCATACAGGAAATTTCAAGGTTTGCATATGCAATGGCTTTCTGAACTGAACTGTGATTTTTCCTGTGCCTATACATGGGCTTGAGTGTGACACCTTAAGAATGCGTAAGCCAAGCTCTTTACTGTCCTAATTATTTTATCACACTACTGAGCTGCAGATCTGACTGTGCTTAGCTTTTTGCAGGATGAAGGCCTAAAACAAGCTGAGAGGTTTGAACGAAGCCTAAATCTATTTAGGGGTACCTGTATTTGAGAAAACAAATCAGACTAATGAAGCTTTTTCAAGTAATAAAGAAAAAGGAGAGACGAGTGGAAGCAAAACAAAGAGCTGTAGGGGTTGTTTCCCCAGCACATTTTGGTTGCTGCACAATTAAATCAGTTTGTTTTCTTCAGACGTGGGTCTCCTGGGGGAGCTATGACAGCACTGGCCCCTGTGGTCCACGCTCTTGCGTTATGTGCTGTGGTCATGGCTTCATAGCCCACCCAGCCAGATCAAGGCTCTGTGTACTCCCAGTTTTCTTTGTGCTGACACTTCTGGGAACTCAGGCAGAGCAGCAGGAGTGAAGCTGTTCTATACAAACAATGCAGCTAAGTTTCTTGCCTTGCACGTTTATGGTGGTCTTGGTTGACAGAGGCATTTTGTATTAGGATCAAGTCACAGTTGATGTTGTTTGTGTATAATTTGGTGTTCCCTCTGTCTTGGTTCTAATTTCAGAGCATTGAATATATTCCTGGTGTTGGGAAAGTGGCAGGAGGTGACACAGAAAAAAAAGATGACACAGCAACAGCAGGGACTCTAAACTCACGGGGTCCTGAACAAGAGGACTTAGAACAAGGTGCAAGCAATACTCAGCAATGCAAAGGATTCAGAAAAAGAGCAGGCCCCGGGGGCTTAGTTGGAGACAAGGCCACCAAACAATTTAGAATTATACCATAATTGCATTTTCAAAAATCAGCAAAATCTCAGTATGGTCTTAAAAATTGTAATTGACTGTGCATAATTTGTAACGCTGGAGAGATTTCTTAAGGTAAGATACAATTTTTTTTTTGCAAGACACATGTTCTCCATCTTGTGTTTTGTTTTAAATAAAGCTTTTGTTTGCTAATTGTCCTTTTCGTTTTCTTCTCACCAAGTAATTAAGTAGTAGTTGAGCCTAGTTATTTCCCAGCTCTGAAAAGATTTTATTGGATTGCATGAGATGTCCAAAAGGGAATAATTGGAGGGCTTGTAGATACTGATGTAAGAAGATATTTCTATGGAAACCACATCCTGCATTATGGACGAGAGATACCACAACACACGTTAGTATCAGAATGACAGCTGTAACCTTCCTTTCAAAGCAAACAATTGATCTTGAATTGCTTTAATTTGAGCTTTTCTAGCAGAAAAATCTCCCCTAAACCCTGTGGTGGACAGGATGGCATACAAACTCCATTAATGCAGAAGAAGTTTGGTACAGTGAAGAAGAGTGAGCAAGCTAAAGGCCTTAAAACTGCCTTTAAATTCAGGCACGGTGATCATGCTGTGTGTGAGTTCAGGGTGTTGAACTTTGTGTACATTACATATTGCATGTTTTATTTCCTGTAGGCTTTTTCCTAATGTTTTGCGTTTGATTAACTTGGAATTATGTTATGGCTTGGTAAAGAAATTTAGTTCTTTCACTACAAGCTGGTTATGTATTAGAATTTTTTTTTTTTAGTGGGGAATTTCTAAAGCTTGAATGTTGTATTAATGATTACAGGTGAAACTCTTAAGGATTAGGTATTTAGTCCAGTGGCAGAAGACTTTGCAAAGAGGTAGGCTCAGTGGTGAACAGCAGTAGGGTCTTGATGAACCTGAATAGATCCAGCAGCCTGTAATTCTTATGTGGGTGCCTTGGAACAAGGAGAGTTAGCTGTTTCTTTCCAAAAACTAATGCAGCATTTCCAGGGAGACAGTTCTATAGGCAGGCATTGTAGGTACACTGTAGGGATGTGTATTTTTCCTCCTGTACAGCATAATTTCTCACACATAGTGCTGTCACCCTGTTTTTATTTAAGGTCATGATTTAACATAGCATTTATTCACGTATCCAAGTAACTCCTCCCCTGTTGAGCTGCTCAGTAAACTATATGCCTGAGACATATCAAAATCAGACCTTTCTAGGCATCTCTTTAAAAAAAAAATAAAAAAACAAATCTATAATTAGAACTTAGAAGTTTTTGCCAAGAGGATTAAAACACTGAATTGCGTGCCAGCCTTAATCATGTTGCTATGGTTCTCTTGTCTCAAAGAGAATGCATTTAGGACTAACTTTATAATCAGTTGATCTTCAGGTTGTTGATTCATCAAGTCGCAAAGGGCATGCTATAAAGGCTGCTAGAAACCGTGCGTCCTCCTGTGCAGCAGCCTATATTCTTACTTAATGTATGGTTAAATACATACCCTTTTTTTTTTTTAAAATACAATATTTATGAAGAGTTGCAATACCAGTTGCTCCTAAGTATGACAGAAAATTATTATATCTCTCCTCATGAAAGTTGATGCTGGAGTTGCAGTAGCCTAGCAAACTAGCCTCATGTCTAATTTGCATATAACAACGTATATTATAATTGTGAGCATAAGGTAAACTGGAGTTGTTCCAGCAAGTGGGGACTATTAAGAAGTTTAATCTGATTTAAGTCTTTCAACAAAATTTTATTTAAGAAGGCCTGAGGAAACTGTACATGAATTTGTATTAGAATAAAGAACATGCATAAGGTACTGTGTGTGGAATGAGCAGATACCTAATTTGATTAAATTCATTCTATATCTGGGGACACTTTGAGTCAGAGGAAAAACCAACAATTTTTCAATATCCCCAAACTGAATTTTTATTTCACTCTCTATTATCCAGTGAGCCACTGGCTGCATTAACAGCCACTTTACTGGCTGTTCTCACAGAAAAGTTGCTTCTTTCCTCTGTGTAAGAATTGTCTTCCTTGATTACGTTTAGCTTTTTGTTTTCTGTGTAACGCTTTTTCATCAAAAATGCTCATGATGGCAACTGGGCATATTGTAGAAGTAAGCAAAGGTGCATTTGGTGAGGTGGTGTTGGCAGATGGCTTGGTACTTTCTAAAGAAAGTGATCACGTCATCCTTCTAATTAAAACGTGTAACAATTAGGGATGTTCTACATTCAGTTCATCTGTCCTGCCTGGCAAATGAAACACAGCGAGCAGAAACAGTAGAATAAGAGGATACAGACATTTGCCCATGATCTATATCCGGTAAAGGACCAGAGCCAGGAGTTCTGAGTTCCTACTTAACAGTACTAAACTCCTGGGCTACAGGTTGCAGGAGGACACATGCTTGCTCCATATTATTTCAGAAATGCTGACTTACAGAACAATTAGTCTGAATATTGATTTTGTTTGGTGTTGTTTTTTTTTGTTTGTTTGGGGTTTTTGTTGTTATATTGTTGCTTTAAGGTATCCAATTAATTTAGAAGCTTGGACCTACAACTCATTCTTGGCAGTCTGAAGCACTTCTTAGTGAGATCACAAGAATCCAGAGACAGTCTGAAGCAGAAACAGATCCAATATCTTCACTGTCTTAATAGAACATAATAGAAAAAAAAAAGACCCAAGAGCACAAACATCTTTTTCTCACAGTGGAAGTTCTTTTATTTGAAAGAAATCTGCATTTACTCAAGGGTAGGATGGTTTCAGAGTGCTGGAAAAGTTGGCAAAGGCTTGAAAGAGCATTCCAATTTTTGGAGTTAAGTTTTCAAACCCTTGGATTTAATCTCTTTCTAAATCTACACTCTGGTGGTTGTGGCTTGACACAATGGTATTTCTGCTTAGGAGACAAGGAGGCAAGTCTGTGTGTGTGAGAGAGATGGCAGACCTGCTGAAAGGAAATTTGTACCTATTGTTCTTATAAGCATAGACACTTAAGTCTGGCTTACAAGTAAGATGCTAGATATCAACATTAGTGTTAGCAGTGATTTGGGTGGGTGTGTGCCAACTAGATAAAGTGTTTGAATCGCTCTCAAGACAAGTAAACATATGGATTTTAAGGCTAGAAATTTCATTACATTAATCTGTCATGATGTTTCACATAATGTAAGCCAGACAATTTCATGCATGGTTGCTGTATCAAAAATCATTGGTTTTGGTTGAAACAACCCATTTTTTAGAAAGATTGTTTTGATTTGACAGTTTTGACTTTCAGATGTTGGGCAGTGGGAAATCTGCCACATTCATTGGCAAGTTGTTCTAAAGTTCTGTGTTTACAAGTGCGCCCCTTTTTTTTAGTCTGAATTCATTTTGTTTTAGTCTCCTATGATGGGTTTTGCTTTTCTGTTTAATGCTGAGCTATGGCTCTGGTACTATCAAGGTTCTCTCAATGTGGGGATGGATACCTTGTGGTCCATCATGACATCAGTGAACAGCACTGTTTTTTGGATCTGTCTCTGTGAGGCGGATTTTCCTGACCTTGATTCATTCTTCTTGTCCTTTCAGAGAGATTTTCGATTTTTCAAATTCCTCTTAGAAGCCTGAACATCATCAGAGACCCAGTTCCAGTTACAATCACACTGACTGTTACGGGTTAGCATTTCCCGGCTGCTATGACCTGTGGTTGTAAATAATCACGGGATTCTTTTGTGCTTGCGGGTGTCTTAATGGTGAACATGCTCTGTAAAACTTAACGGCACAAAGGAATTAAGAGGTATCTGTTTTAATGTGTTGACTTTAATGGCCACAATGGCTGCAGCGTACTACTGAAAATGTAGCCGATCCAGCGTCATCTTTATTGTTACCACGAGATGGCACCATTACATAGCTTAACATTGTCGTCGTTTCTTGGGTGCTTGAGACGGTGCCCAAGATTTAAATACATCACTGGTTGTCTTGACTTCTTCAGAGAAGGGTTACCAGTTCAGAGAAAGGAGGACGAGGGTATGGTAAAGCTTGTCTTGTGTTTGCCATTCAATCACATTTTATCTGTGGAGTTTGTCTCCAGTGGGCCCTGGGTTGATTTTTTCAAATATTTGTGAAGCCAAGATGAAGTCGTAGAGTAGCACAAAATGTAAACTGCACCCAAATTGTTCCCCTTTGTACTCTTGTATCATCAGAAAGCCTGGGTGGGACTTTTCCATGTTGTATTTCATGGTTTCCCAGCACAAAATGATTCTACCTCAGTTGTTTGACAGATAAGTTGAGCATCTAATTTTCATTTCTGTCCCTGCTCTGTCTACCACATACTTTGCATCAGAGTACTACTTTGACTTTCTTTGACTTTATTTTGTGTAATAACAGCTGCTATGTAATATGCTGTTAATATTCTCATCATTAGAAAAGCAAGGATGGTCTGTATTTGCCCTAAAGGCCAAGTTTCTTCCTTTGCTACTGTGTTCTATATGTGACCGTTCCGAGGGAGAAAAGAGCAGAGTAAGCAAGCAGACAATTTAATCTAATTTTTATTTTTAAATTTTTTGAAATGTGTGATGTTTAGTTTAATTGATAAAATAATACTTCCGTGCAAAGATAAAGTTGTACATTAAAGACAGCTCTCCATCCTAATCAGCGATTGTAATGCAAACATTTGAAAGCAAGTCATTCTCTGTTCTTTCACTTGCTTTTTGAAAGCCCAATGCTAACTCTATTTTTGGGGTGATTTCCCAGTCCTCCAGGCCTGCAGTATCACACTCCATGATTAGCGTGGCATGACACATCTGTCTGCTAAATGGTAGGAGCTCTGAGCAACTCTTAGGGTTTATCACATCAGTAACTTGGACCAATATCCTTCCCTCCCATCTCTGATGACATTAATGTATTATGGGATCTGTTTGGACACTCATGGACTGCTCTTGAAGGATCTGCTAGAATTCACCTTATAGAAAATTCTGATGCCTTCTTTCTGCTATGATTTTTGTGAAAAGATTTTAGAGGTTTAGAAATACAAATTAAACA